TGCCTGTGTAGTTAGCTATTTTTTTTTTATTTCTTAATTTTTATTGTTTACTTTTATTACTATTACAAGAAGGTGCTAAGCACCTATTGCAGTAGCTGGCTGCTCAGAGTAGAGTGCTTCCAGTTTTACTCTATGGAGGAATGATTTAAGTGTGTGATCTCTCCAATGTACAGCCCACTTACAATTTTTTGTGCTTACTGAAGTAAGCGTGTCTAAATGAGCCTTGAGTCTAATTTCAATGCTATGGGTACAGGCTTTGGCAGCAGAAAGGTTAATGGCAATATTAGTGGTCCAATGTATTCTGTGTCCAGTCTCTGACGGTCTCCTGCTTTAGAATGTGTCCACTCTCCAACTACCCCTGTAGCATGTCTTCACTCCTTGACCTTGTCCTGTAATATCTTCATTCTCCAAGGGCCTTCTGACATGTTGCCCCCTATGACTTATAAGGTGACTAGCACTGCTCTAAATAATAGAGGAGGTCACACTGTTCAATACAATGTACAAATTATCAGAGCAGAGGAAAATAGGTCATTACACACAATGAATTGAGTAGCTGTAACATATTGGCACTTCCATATTAACACATGCTTATTTTTGCTTTCTTCTCTTTATAGTGAAGAGCAGTCACGCTTGGCAGCGAGAAAGTATGCGCGTGTTGTGCAGAAGTTGGGGTTTCCAGCAAAGTTTCTGGATTTTAAAATTCAAAATATGGTAGGCAGCTGTGATGTGAAGTTCCCCATCAGATTAGAAGGCTTGGTCCTAACACATCAACAGTTTAGCAGGTAAATTCAAAACTTTCTATTTAATATTCATACTGCTCCACATATTTTGTTCGCTCCTGTGGCTAATATAGTTGTGCAAACTGTTCCAACCTTTTCCTGCAACTACCAGTCAGTGTGCACATGTAAAGAGGTACTGCAGTTTATTAACTTTGATTAACTTAAAGGAGAACTATGGGGTTAGGGCTTTTCCCCATAGTTCTCCTTAGGGTAACGGGAGGACACAAACTAGCGTCCTCCCGTCACCCCAAGCTTAGTATACCGCGAGCTACAGCTTGCGGTATACTGAGATGCCGCAGCTGAAGCGGATCCCGACAATGTCTGGGTCCGCCCAGCTGCGTGAGTGACAGCTGGCTCTGCCTATCTACAGGCAGAGCCAGCTGTACACACCCCCGTCCGTTCCGCCAGTCAGCGCTGGAGGAGCGGGGGGGGGGGAATCCAGCCCCTCCGCTGTCACGGCAGAGAGCCGTGACAGGATCGAGAGGTGAGCGAACACCGGTATGTGTTCGCTCACCTCCCGATCTACTGAGCCGACCTGTGACAGTCTCATTGTCACAAGTCGGCTAGAACTATGAGGTGAGTGGAAATCACTCATGTCATAGTTCTCCTTTTAATGATTTGTGCATTTTGTTAGTTACGTGTGACACATCAAAATGCAATAACCTTGAAATAAAACCGTACAAATTTGCTGAGATAGGACATTTTTTTTCCTGTATCAGTCCACGTTTGCCAATTGGAGCCAGGGAAGTTCTACTGCAAACATTGCTGAACGAGCCTTCAGACAAAGCCTAAGGGTTTCTACAATATACATTGTGGTGGATCAGATCTTCAGATGTGTTGTGATAAATATATTGCAGAGTGCTTAATACACATGAACATATATACCAGCAACCAGCATTTTGTTTAGGAATCCATGACTACAACTGAGTCTGCTGTATCTTTTTGTAAAGGCAGGAAACAGAGAGGTAAAATCAGTTCCTTGTCTGTCATTTGGTCTCTGTGTTAACCATATTTTCCACGTACAAATCTCTATAGCCGCTAGGAGTCTGCTTACAGGGGCCCACTGTTGCCGATGTTTGACATAAGTCGGCAGCAGTGAAAGGGTTAAAGAAAGAGAAACTTGGAGGCAGCCAGTCCTGACTTCCAGATTTTGAGATGCTAGTTGCCAGCTGTCATGCTGATCCTTTTTCATTGATGCGTCCATGCCACTAACCCAGAACAAGTGTGGAGTAATTATTTTTGTGATTTGCGTACATGTTCTTGGTGAATAACATGACAAAAGTAGCATGGCAGCTTCCATATTTCTTAGTAAAAATTGACTTCAGTAAAAAGGGCCGGCAACTCCCCCTAAATAAGCCACACAAAAACCCCCCACATAAGCCACACAAAAACCCCCCACAGAAGTTAACGGCATGGAGGGGCTTTTAAACTCTCATGTCCTGTGCTTCCTGTCCCTACTAAGCTGGTGCAGCAGCCTCCTCTCAGCCAGTGCTATTATGGAGGGGAAGATGGTATTTACACCATTTTAAGTTAAAAATGAAATGTCTGGGTTTAAACATGTGAGGTCTTCACGCGGACAGATGCAGTCTCTTGCTCCTGTTAAAGGAGAACTATGGGGTCAGTGTTTTTCCCCATAGTTCTCCTTAGGGTAACGGGAGGACACAAACTAGCGTTCTCCCGTTACCCTAAGCTCAGTATACCGCGAGCTACAGATCGCGGTATACTGAGACGCCGAAACGGATCCCGACTTAAGACGACGGGATCCGCCCAGCTGCGTGAGTGACAGCTGGCTCTGCCTATCTAGAGGCAGAGCCAGCTGTACCCGCCCCCTCCCCCGTCCGTTCCGCGAGTCAGCGCTGGCGGAGCGGGGAGAGGGGAATCCAGCCCCTCCCCCTGTCACGGCAGAGAGCCGTGACAGGATCGAGAGGTGAGCGAACCCGGTATGTGTTCGCTCGCCTCCCGATCTACTGAGCCGACCTGTGACAGTCTCATTGTCACAGGTCGGCTAGAACTATGAGGTGAGTGAAAAGCGCTCGCCTCATAGTTCTCCTTTTTAAGGCCTGGTTCACACCTGAACGTTTTGTAACGCGTTCCAACGCTTGATGAACGCTCTACAAAACGCTCAAACATCTAAATCCCATTGTATTCAATGGGTCTGGTTCACACCTTGCCGTATTTCCGCCCGTCCGATCGCGATACAAAACGGCCTACGCCCATAGAAGTACATGTACTTCTTTGGGGCATTTTGGTCTTGCGTTTCCATTGGGATACAGCCTAGTAGCCCTCGGAAACGGGCGTTTGTCGCACGTTTTTTTACCGCGAATCGCGGTAAAACGCGAAACGCGCATATTCAATACGCCTAGGTGTGAACCCAACCTAACAAACTGCTGTTTTTATATCTGCTTGTGCATTTACAACTAGTTAATTTTTTTTCTCATCCCTTAGTTACGAGCCAGAGTTATTCCCTGGCCTTATTTACAGAATGATCAAGCCAAGAATCGTTCTTCTGATATTTGTGTCTGGAAAAGTTGTTTTGACAGGTGAGTTGCTTAGTTAGTTCTTTGAATACAGGACTACTGCAAAGGTGTATTGTTAAAAGTAATTGATGCTGTAATTTACCCTATGGGGAGAACAATGGGGATGTTAAAGTGACTAGGGCTGCAACCAACTAATCGATTATGAAAATAGTTGTCAACTATTGTCAACTGATTTCAGGAGGAGCAAGGATCTGTCGGGGAGCATGGGTAAGGTGAGTATATGGGGGTCGGGTGATGCCCTTTGCAAACACTGTCACTTTGCCCTGCATGGGTGCGGTGATGGTGTTTCTTAAAATCTGTGTAAACTTCGACTTTCAAATAATAGCTGCCTACTATTTCCCTGTATAGTAGTGAAAATAGGGGGCAGAGGCAGCTAATTGGGCTGGGCTAAGAACAGACAGCTAATGTTATATAGCATAGGAACAGTACAGGCTCACAAACGTCAATTGGTAATGGGGGTAACAAAAAAAATTTCAAGGAACTCTGATGGCTAACCTTGGCAGCACAGGTAAGGTGATCACAGACAAGAACTCCTATTGCTTTCTTTGCATAACCTGGGAAAAGTGCAGGTTGACCCTAAAGTGTATGCAAACCCTAACAATGAAATGGGCACCTTGCAGGAGACATGTAGATACTGCTTAATAGCAGAGGGTGTCTGATGTGTGTATCTATGGGAAAGTCATTTTTGCTTCTTGTGACCCTTCAGCAGGTGTACTATGAGACCGGAGGGGACACTGATGTAAAAGTCTGATTTGGTTATCATGGGTTACTGCACAAGTGTACTCAACAAAACGTTCTGTGGATTAGTGCACCTTGTTTTGCGTTAAAGCGGAAAATGGTTTCTATTGCTCTGAAATTTTAATGACTGGAACTTTTTTTTTTTACTAACCCATAACACATTTGCTGTAATACAGACCTAAAACCTCTGAAGGACTTGTCACATAACTTGTAGAGAATATAGTCTTGCAGTGTGATCTTTCACTTTCTTGAAAACATTAGAATGACCTGCTTTTTAATATATTTTCTTTTTTCCAGGTGCTAAAGTCCGAGCAGAGATTTATGAAGCATTTGAGAACATATACCCAATCCTGAAAGGCTTTCGGAAGACCACATAACAGTTGGCGTTTGGAATTTTAACTTTTCTGTATATGTGTTGTATAATATGAGGACCTTTTTATTATTGTACACCGTTAAGAGATGGACTTGGGTTACATATGGTGTTCCACTGACGTTGCTATGATCCAATGACATCTTGCATCGCCACATATTTTATTTACTTGCCAAATGTTTCTATTTTTAAGCCGGTTTTATGTGGAGGACATTGACTTTAAAGAAAATATTGTTTCCAATGGTTTTCCTTTATTCCATGTACTTCAGAATTTATACACTATTCAATAGGACTGTTTTGGACCATGATGTCTAACGGAACAAGAAGTATTTCAAAAACCATTTTCTGGAGACAGTACACCTCAAGTGAAACATCGGGATTGTATATATCACTTAACCAAAAGCTCTGTATTAATCCTTCCGAAGGGTATATTTTGGCACTGTTTCACTTTTAATAAAAAAACAGATTTTAGTCTAAAGTTAGTCTATGGCCATCTAATCTTGTTTTAATAGTAGTAAGAAATGTTTTAATTTAAATGTTGTTTAAGTCATTATCTGTATATATTTTTCTCATTTTCAGTTGTTCCATATTAAACAGAACAGTTTTATTGGAGTTTTATGACTTTGATACTATGTATCGTTTCCAGTAGGCTTTTTTTATTTTATAAGGTTATTAGAATAATACTTATGTGCCAGAAACATTCCTGGATTTCAGTGTTCAGCTTGGTAAAATAAATTTTGTGCGCTTACTCTGAAGGTGTTTTTTTTTTTTTTTTGCAAAATTTATGTTTTATCATCTTAAATGGGCAGTCAGTCCTTTTTGAGAGATCCTAACTTCAATTAAGAGCCAATTATGAATTTCCACATACTACTTAAAGTGTATTTTAAATATAAAACGTAGTTTTGAATGGTGTGGGGAGGGGCTAGGACCCCTGTCAAGAGTCTATTGTAGTATGTGTCCCTTCTGTGGAGATTCACCCTCTGTGTCGCAGCGGTGAAGTCGGCAAAAATATATCTTTTTTTTTTTTTAAAGGAGAACTATGAGGTGAGTGATTTTCAGTCAGCCTCATAGTTCGAGCCGACGTGTGACAATGAAACTGTCACACGTCAGATCAATAGATCGGGAAGTGAGCGAACACATAGCGTCGCTCGCTCACTTCTCGATCATGTCCCTGCAGAGAGAAGTGACTTCACTCACGGCTCCCTGCAGGGATTCCCTCCCCGCTCCGATCCTCCAGCACAGACTGGAGGAACGGACGGGGGAGGGGACAGGTACAGCTGGCTCTGCCTCTAGATAGGCAGAGCCAGCTGTCACTGACACAGCTGGGTGGATCTCGACAGTAATGTAGGGTGTGTGGTGGTCTCAGTATACCGCAAGCTGTAGCCCACAGTATACTGAGCTTTGGGTCACGGGAGGACGCTAGTATATGTCCTCCCGTGACCCTTAGGAGAACTATGGGGAAAAGCACTTACCCCATAGTTCTCCTTTTAAGCATTCATGGAGGGACACAGAAATTCAGAGACTGTTGGTTTACACTGCTGCCTACAGGAGGTTTTGGACCCTCCAAAAAAAAGGGAAAAAAACTGGCAGCCCAGTATAACCTTTCCTCCTATTTTCAGCACGCTTTAGCTTTTTGCTAGTGTTCTAGGAGGATGAACATTTTGCTCTTCTTTGCTTGGAACATTCTACAATTGGATGCGAGCTGTTTGTGTTTTGAAGATAATTCTTTTTTTTTTTTTATTCAATTATGTTTTACCTACAAGCTGGTCTCTATACGCAGCAATCCAGATCCTCTGCAATAGCTTTAAAGGCCATGCCGGACTTTAGTTGCGGGGCTAACCTGGAGTGTTAGTTTTGGGCACTGCATTGGACACGTTTCAGACCTTCCTGTACTGTGTTACTTAGCCACAGAATACTTTCTGTGCCCAGAATCATGGCACAGCCCCATCTGGGACCCTGTCTCTGAAGACTCCCTTTGTGAGTAGGGCCAAGTGACTTTGCACACACAGCATCATGGACCATGCCTTCAAGATGGCGGTGCGCAGGGTACACTGGCAGCAAATATGGCAACCGCATGTTCTGCAAACAAACTTATATATGCCCAAAAAGTTTTCGTGTATTCGGGCATATAATAAATTCATTAGTTTGTATTTGGACGAGACACCAAATCAACTGAATTTTGTTAATTTGCAGTTTCGACCCAAATCCAAGTCTATTATTGATTAGCTGCTTCACCACAACTCCTCCTCCACCGCTGCATCTTTAACTCTGTAGCTGTTCATAAAC